AAAATGCCACTCCCCAAGGGCAAAATTACCAGAGCACAAAGTGCTCTTGTCAATGACAGGCTCAAGGGAGGACAGCTATACAAAGCACTCCCATGGCACAGCAGTCTGCAGGGCGAGGGTTTTACGGAGCTGGGTTGCTTTGTTTTCGTTTGTTTTGAAGATAATACAGAAGGATGCATAATATCTCCCTGAATGGTATCCCAGGCTGCATTTTTTTTTTTAAATGAGATCTGTTGAGGAAAACCCTCAATGAGATGCAGTAACACAACAACCACAACAATGGACTCTAAGATACCCGTGATCATGAAGACTGTGCAAGACCAGGCAACGGTTCCTTCTGTTGTGCATGGGGTCACCATGAGTCACAGTAACAACAACTGATTATTTGAATGATCACAGCGTTGCACATCTGACCCTACAGTAAGTAGATGGAGATCACAGAAGTTCTCAAGTTCCACACCTGATTCAACTTCATAAATGACCCAAGAGATTGTTGGTATGGCAGTGGGGTTTCTATGAAATATGTGTTTCATCTATGAATCATTTTTTAAAACTCCTAAAAGACAAATCTTCTTTACAAAGCTTACACTTCATTATTGACTTCTTAGAAAGTAATTAAAAATTGACAAGTATTTTCCAGACCAAACGTAAAACAACACAGTATTAAATGTATGATGTTCCTCGGCAGCATCCTAGATAGGTTCTGGCCAACTCACCATTTTGTGGAGGTGGCAAGAGTTGAGGTGAGAAAGAATTCAAGTCAACAAAGATTTACTGAGCATCTACTTTCCCAACAAGACATTTTCATTACACGAAGCTAATCTCGTCCAGTGTTCCCTTAGCTCACTCTGCTCAGTCTTACAACAGAACCTTCATAGCTTTTGCTCCCCCTGACCAATGACTACGGCTTAGATTGTCCTCCCCTCTCTTCTGGGCCTAGCCACAGCCTATGTGTCGTTCAGGGTCCAGCTCAAGCTATCCCTCCTCCATGAAGCCTCCTCCAACCTCCCCAGAGACAACGTGCTCTCTTCCTTGGAGCACTGATGACTGATCTGCTACATATACATATTTACACTTCATCATCCACCTCCTTATACTGTTAGTTGTCTGTTTTATCTCCAGCTCTTATCTCTCTCCTGTGCTCCAGACCCATACCCGCCAACTACCTGCAGGAAATCTTCAGAATTATGACTCACTGGCACCTCCACTACACATGTCAAAAATAACTCATCATCTTCAGTACCAACCAAGCCCCAACACACACACAACCTCCTCTCCCTCCTGTCTTCTCTATTAATGAAGTTCAGCATGTATCGAACATTTCCTATGTCTAAAGCAATGTGTTGGCCACTATGGAAACAGAAAGATATACAAAGATTGATAAGCCTCCCTCGACCTCCCTGCCAGAATGAGTTAGGCACTGCTTTTCTGCTCTATACCCCCATAACACCCTGTCCTTAGCTCTATCATTAAATTTATCACACTCTAATGGATGTCTCCCTCACTAGACTATGAGCTCCATGAGCCATGTCTTTTGTTTCTCTGCCTCACCAATGACCAAGCAGAAACCGATATTCTAGTCATAGTAAATAAAACCTTTGCTAGCTGGCTAGATCGATGGCAGTCCTTGCCTTTGAGGAGTTCACCATCAAGCTGGATACCTAAACTTGGGGTTATCCTCAACTCTTCCCTTTCACTCACAACAAGTTCAGCGAGTTCTCTGAATCCTATTTCAACGGTATCTACTGCATGTGACTCTTCATCCCCACTATCACGACAATAGTCCACACCACTATCCAGATTGCCTGGACCTCAGCAGTAGCCTCTACTAGTTTCTCCACACAGTATACATTCAGTACTGTGTTGTTTTACGTTTGGTCTGGAAAATACTTGTCAATGTTTAATTACTTTCCAAGAAGTCAATAATGAGGTGTAAGCTTCGTCAGAAAGATTGTTCTAAAACACATTATCCCCTGCTTGAAATCTTCCTTGACACCCTCATTAACCTAGCTCCAGCTCAAGGCCCACTCCTTCTCTTCACTCACCCGACTCTCAACCAAAATCATTCCACCACCCACTCCCTGCTTTCCTACCTCCATGCTTTCACTTACTAATTTCCCCTAGCCTTCTTCTACCAATCAAATCCTCTTTTCATCCTTCAAGATCCAATTCGAGTGATTGTTCCCACTTAGGGTATTGCTAATCGACTTGTTTCTTTACTGCTTCAAAAGCATCTTACTTAGCCTTTTTTCTATGTTACTTACTCGGTCCTATCATGTTATGGTTGGTTGTGTGCATGCCCACCTTGACTACTAGCTTGTGAGGTCCTTGGGGAAGAGTTCATGAGGTATATATTGCTGTAACTCACTGAGTGCGTAGTATAGTGGGTGCTCAATGAATAAACTGAACAGAATTTAAATACCCACCCCACAATATTTATTCATTTTACAAATATTTATGGAGCATAAACAGAACAAAACAAAAAAACATCTCTGCCCTCTTGGCATTTACATTCTAATGGTAGGCTACAGACAGTAAACAAAGTAAGTAAGTTAACATATACTACGCTAAAAAAAAAAAAAACCTGTTGCCATGGAGTCGATTCCAATTCATAGCGACCCTATAGGACAGAGTAGAACTGCCCCTTAGGGTTTCCAAGGAGAAGGTGGTGGATTTGAACTGCCTACCTTCTGGCTAGCAGCTGAATGCTTAGCCACTGCGCCACCAGGGCTCCTATGCTATGTTAGATGGCAGTAAATGCTAAACAGAAAAATAAAACAGGAAAGGGAGATGGGGAAAGAAGGAATGGGGCTCAATTTTCTATTGGGTGAGCAGGGAAGGCCCTACTGAGATAGTGGCACATGAGCAGAGACCTGAAGGAGAGTAAGGGAATCAGCCATGCTGACATCTGAGGAAGAGTATTCCAGGCGGAGGGACAGCAAAGGAGGCAGGAATCTGTTTGGCACAGGCAGCCAGGATGTCAGTGTGGCCGAAGTGGAATGAGTGAGGGGGAGGGAGGTCAGACAGGCAACAGGAGGCCAGGTCCTAGAGGGCCTTGTGGGCTATTAGGATCACCTTGGTCTTTATTCTTTTTGAGATGGGGAGACGTGGTCCAAGTTAAGTTTTGAAAAAATCACTCTGGCTACTGAATTTAGATTAGATTGCAGGAGTAATGAGGACAAGAGCAGGGACGCCAGGTAGGAAGCTACTGCAATAAGCTAGGTAAGCTGTGTCGTTCCCTATACTCCTAGGTCCAGGCCTTCCCTGACCAGCAGGCTTCTTGGCCCCAGCTGCCCAGACTTATCCTTGAAACTTAAGATAAGATGCTTGTAGGTGTTACCCAAGGGCTCAGATCAGAGCCAGAGCTTGCCATGTGAGTCCAAAACTGAATCCTAAAACAAAGAGTATAGGAGAAGCTTGAAGGGAAGGGCCCGAAGACCAGGACGAACACCCAGGGCAGCCCACAAGGGGGTGGCCAGACTGTGCTACAAGGCATCACAGTGAAGAACATCATAGTGAGGGCCGCCCAAATGAGGGCCGGCTGTCCACTTCCCATGTGTCCTCAGCAACGCTTGGTATTTCCAGGCAAGGCAGCAAGTGCTGTCCCTTAGCTTTGCAGATGGAGACACTGAATCAAGAAACATCGAGTGAATCTAGAAAATTTGTGTAGGGAGCCTGACAACCAGATTGTGCTAATTGAAAAATGTAGCAAGGGGTAAAAATTGGCTGTGAAAATCATCCAGACCAAGGAGATTCCAGGCAAGGCCTATGAAAATACTTCAGGGCTCAACAGAAACATCTCAATTTCCAATAATTAAAAATGCTAAGCAGTCTACACACACATATATAATTATAAATCAGTTAGCAAATGCTTATTTCATTAAAGGAGATGCCCCGCTTAACCCAACACCCAACACAGAAAAGTGTGCAAACCAGATTTTATCTTCAATGCTTTAGGGAAAATCTCCTCACAGTGTTGATCTCAGGGAGGGGGGAGGGGAAGAGGAACTTTCATTATCTATATTATATATATTTCTGTAATGTGTTAATTCATTTACAGGGAGCCTGTAAATAAATTTTAATTAATAACTAATAATAAATAATTCACATAAATAAACTGGATATTAAATGACTAAGTTAAATTAACTAAATCATTACATTGAAACCAGACATTTAATAAATGAAATAAATTTAAAAATAAAATAATAATAAATTAAATTAATTAACAAGTTATACAAAAGAAAAAAATGCACCACTCAAAGGAGCCCTTGGGTGAACATTTTTGAAAAGTGACGAAATTTAATAATGTGAATAACTGAACCCTGTTTTATCTGTATTGTGAACAAGTATTTTCAAATATCGGAGTTGGGTTTTGTTAATACAAGCAGGGCCTACCTTCTTAAATAATAAAAGGCAAGAAAGTTACCTAACAAAAACTCTAGGAAGGCCTATAAAGAGGGATCAGATTTCATTCTCTGGGTCTTATTACGAAAAAGGGTAAGCAGCTAGCCATATGCACCGAGTTAAGAGCGATCTGGTTCAGAATCAAAGTGGCCGAACACGTCTCTGAGGCATTTAGTTTTAGGTCTGCTTAAAGAGCTTAGAGCTAAAAAAAGGAAGTTAGCACATGGCCTCTCTATTATTGTATGCTGCCGCGGTGATTCTCAGAGCAGCAGGAAGGACTATGTACTGTATTACATAGGCTAGAATTAGTAGACATAAAGGGACATAGTTAAGGTGGAACAGTTGTCTGAGCTTGGAATTCCTTTGCTTTTTTAGCTTTAGTGTTTTTTTTCCCCGCCTTGATGTAATCTAAATACAACTCTGTTTCCAAATATCTAATGACAGATTTTTCTCAGTTATATTCTAGTCTTGTTTTTGACATACATATACAAGTATAAACAGCTTCTGTTAACTAATTCAAACCACAAGATTTTTGGTAAGAATACCAAGAAAGTCCAAGAGTCATATTCAAAAAGACTTTTAAACATTTCACTTACCACTGGATTTAATTTCTCGGACATAATTACTAGGGAACCAGCCTGTTCTCCCATTTAATGTGCCTTCCCACCAGCCACCTTCTTCAACTCGAGTGACGTAAATGATGTCCCCTTTACAGACTGACAGTTCGTCTTCATTAGTCTGCTTAAAGTTGAATCTTGCCTTTACTATCAACTGGTGACTTCCATTTTCTGTCATCTCCTAGAGAAGCAAAAGCCACACCAGATTAAGTGTTCACTTAAATGAGGGAGGGGTAGAAATCATATGGATTTAAGCAAATGAGGTGAGGTGGCCAGGGATCAAACCCCAGGTCTATTTCAGCCCTGAGTTTTCAACTTAGGGGTCCATAGATGGGTCTCAGGGGAAACTGTATGCAAGTTTGGAGAATGTGCATTTTGGAAGGGGTCATAGCTTTCATTTCCCTCTCCCCTCCCCCAACAATTATCTAAGGATATCTATTCATTTGAGCCAGGAAACTAAGTAGAGTGATAAAATATTTCACTCCACCCTCTACTTAACACATACATGTGATTGACTATATGACCAAGATTAGGGACTAACTTACTCTTATAAAATCTTCCTCCCACTGCCCAATTACTAACAATATTTTAATTTGGGTAAGACTAAGTTATATACAAAGATCAAATAAAGATCAAATATTCCATAGCCACCTAAGTCAGGAGTTCTTAATCTGTCATCCTAGAATTGGGCTTAACTCTGAGAGTCACAGACTCCTTTGAAAAGCTGGTGAGCACAAAGGATCTTTGTCCAAGGTAATGCCCATGGGTCCAAGAGGTGTAGTGTTCATCAGCTTCTCAGAGGGATCTGTGACCTCACGAAGGTTCAGAATCACCCACTTAAGCGATTTGGGAGTAATAGCTCATGGTGGCTTACAGCAAGTGGGTGGCTTTTGACAAGAAATAAAGGTATCACGCATACAGCAGAAAATGGGGGTATTTCCTCCCAAACAAAAGCTCCTTATTAGACCAAATGCAAAGATAGCTGGGCAATCCCAATATAGGTGTTCATCATAGGCTGACATTTAAAATCAGGTCTTGCTCAATAGGAATCCAAAGAGAAAAATAATGATACCAATAATGACGATGATCTATTATGTGCCAGGCACTACTTAATTTTCCTAATAAACCCAACAACAACAGCAACAGACCAGTTGCTGTGGAGATGATTCCAATTCATGGTGACCCCACGTTTGTCAGAGTAGAACTGTGCTCCATAGGGTTTTCAGTGACTGATTTTTCAGAAGTCGATCACCAGGCCTTTCTTCCAAGGTGCCTCTGGGTGGACTCGAACTTCCAACCTTTAGGTTAGCAGCCAAGTGTGTTAACCATTTGCACCACCCAGAGACTCTTTAATGAACCCAGGGGTATCATAAATAACAGCAAACTGCCATGAGGATGTAGTCATAAAAATGCTTACATTTGCGACGCATTTTCAGTTAAATGACTTGCCTAATTCTAGTAAGGGACAGAGCTGGGGCTTCAACCCCATCTTTTGACTCTTACCCCCACCCATGCCTTTGACTTGTTCTGATCAGGCCATCCAGAATTGGTGCTAGTTTAGAATTAATTTTCTCAGTGATACCCAAAACAAACAGAAGGGCTATCTCACCCCATATGGAGATGCGACTGAGATACCGATCTGATTTTACAGATTTTAAAAGAGGTCAAGGGAACTGGGGACTCTACTTACCACTGCCTTGGACTGCCTTTGCAGCCCTGGAGCTGTGCTAGAAACTGCTCCCTGTGGGTTTGTCTGAGAACTATTGGCAGCACTAAGAGAAGAGGAACGTCCACATGGTCTTTCTGAGAGCTGATCTGTGAAAAGAGGAAAAGGCATGGTAAAGGGAGCCACTCATGTTAGAAAAACACCTACAACCTAACAGTACCTTTCATGGGACATTGTCAAAGGCAACCTGGCTGTAAAGCTAACTGATATCATTATGAACATGCCGAGTGGATTTCATCCCTCCCTCCCGTTTGGTGGCCGACGTCTTTTTCTGAACCTTACTAGCCATTGCTCTCCAGTAGAATGAAAAACAGCGACAGAACCACATTTTCTCTTAACCCATTTCCCTACAACTCTTCCCTCCTGAACCAGTTGCAACAGTATGTCCTGTTATCCAAGGCAGAACTATATTGGGTACCAAACAGCTGTTTGTGGCTCTTATTACTTCAAAATATTTCAAATTTCTCTCTTTGCGTTTTGGCCCATAACTGAGTGGTTCTTTTCTTACTCACATGTAACAAATATTTTTTTTTTAAATCAAACTCAGGAGTCTTCTCTTCCTTCAAACCTTGGGAAATTTGATCAGGCCTGAGCTGAGCTGGGTGTTTCAGTATGCTGAGAGTGTACTAAAGAGAGGAGCTGGCTTCTTAACAAATTCAAATGAAGGTTCTTTTCCCCTCCATTTATTTTTAAAAGATATAAACTGCAAAAGTCTAAAGCCCAAACATTCCCTAGGCGACAAGCTCAGTATCCAAGTAATTTCCTTGATGCTGTGGGTTTTAACTTTCACCTCCTTGTATTTTTTATAAATATCTGTGGCAAGGGAAGAGACTGTAAAACTTGCTAGGGGAGTCTGGCAGAGGAACGTATAATTTGTGTGGCATAATGTTAGAATTATACGATCCTCCCTGCCCAGATCTGGATAGTTGTCATGTGTGTTAAATATAGTTACTTGAATTAGCTGTGCTTTCTGCTGTACGCCTTGCAATAGCTCAAAAGCATTTTTTCCAAATAGCAAAAGAACAACCTCAGAAAAGTATTTTTACATTTATTGTTATTATATACAGCTCTTTTGACTAAAAGTATAATTACTTGATAGCTTCCTAGAGGCTCCATCCTATTTGGCACTTGATTATATTGTCTGCTCTTGTTCTCTAACTGTTTCACATGGGTAAGTTGAGTCTCCCTAAATAGACTGTAATTTTCTCGAGGGTGGGACCACATCTTACACTTCCTTTGTAGCACCTGGCAGTGCTGGGTACCCAGCCTGCTGACGCTCCACACCACCAGTCTGAGCAGTGTGCCCTGGGGTTGGGTATAAGAGCGCTAGAGTCAGTTGGAGGTGGGTTTGAATTCCATTTCTGTGAGTTACTCTCTAGTTGGGCAACTATGGGCTTGAGTTTCCTCACTTGCAACATGGACCTGATAATAATACCTGCCCCAGGGGTTGTTTCAAAGATTGAGCCAAGACCAGAGACCACCCACGGCCCTTAGGACAGCCTCGACCCATGGAAAGGGCTTAAAGCATTTTTAAAAAAGTATTGTGGTAAAATATATATATAACAAAAAGTTTGATGTTTTAACCATTTTTAAGCGTACAATCCAGTGGCATTAATTACATTCACCATGTTGTGCCAACATCACCACTATCCATTTCCAAAAGTTCTTCATCACCTCAAACAGAAAGCGAATACCCCTTAAGCAGTAATTCCCATTCCTTCCTGCCCTCAGCCCCTGGTAAGCCCAAATAAACGTTTGACTCTATACATTTGCCTATTCTAGATGTTTCGTGTAAGTGGGATTATACAATATTTGGCCTTTTGTGTCTGACTCATTTCACTCAGTGTAATGTTTTCAAGGTTCATCCATGTTGTAGTATGCATCAAGATTTCATTTCTTTTTATGGTTTAGTAATATTCCATTGTATGTATATACACATTTTGTTTATCCATTCATCTGCTGATGGTCACTTGGGTTATTTCCACAGGGTTCAACGCATCTTAACTACGATTCTTACCACCCAGCTGTAAGTAAGATACTATATCACAGAAGGAGTGGAGTTACACTCCCAGTTTATCATCATCTTTGCATTTACTAGAATTTATATTTATTAGCCCCAATCTAGTGGGTGTTAAAAATGTAAGCAACAGATACTCTTTTCACTCACTATGACCTTGAGGTTTCATTTCCAGTGCAAGGCTACTGAAGGGTTCTTTTACATGGACAAACCGACTCATGGCGACCACGTAGGACAGAGTAGAACTGCCCCATAGGGTTTCCAAGGCTGTAAATCTTTCCAAAAGCAAACTGCCACATCTCTCTCCCATGGAGTGGCTGGTGTGTTTGAACCACCGACCTTTAGGGTAGCAGCCAAGTGCTTAACCACCATGCCACCAGGGCTCCTTACATGGACAAAGACATATGGAAAACTATGAGAAATATGTGTTGTCTCTAGTGGAGAAAGGGAAGTAGCAGCCGTATTTTGAAAACTTTATGAAAAGGGGAACTGGTCTTCTCCTTTATATTTTCTGTCCTGTTCTGTTCATTTGGTTATTCAATAGCTTTGAATGAAATATTTTCTTTATTAAGGTCATTAGATTGACATCTGCGGTAAACTCGTTGTCGTCGAGTCAATTCCAACTCAAAGCGACCCTATAAGTAGAACTGCCCCACAGGGTTTCCAAGGCTGTAATCTTCACGGAAGCAGACTGCCACATCTTTCTCCTGTGACATCTGCGGTAGGTGTATTTAAATCTTTAGCCATAAAAAAAGTAAAGCATTTGACACCCGTTGGGGTTTCTGTGGGGGGGAGGGGGGTAAGAGGGGGAATTTGCATGGTTGCAAACCAAACAACTCTGGCCATGGTTGGCTCCTAGGGTAATCAGAAACACATGGATCCAAAAAGTCACCCAGAACTCGTAAATCACAAGCCTTTGCTTACCTTCTGTTGCTTTGTTGACAGCTAAAAGGGTACTCAGAACCTTGGAGAAACTGACCCCCAAATAAAGGTCGTCAGGATCAAATACCTATGAGAAAGGAAAATTGAAACTGTGAAACACTGTAAGTATTCAAGTCAGTCAACAAAAGTTATCAGAAGGCCACTTCCTCCAGCTCTCGGGAGAAAAAAATGTAAAAGCTAAGACGCGAACCTCTCTATACCTCTGGGAGAAATGAAAGCAGCAGCTGAGCCGCCTAATGACATGTGGCAGGCCATCAGTGAGTCAGAGAGAAGCAGTAATGGGAAATGAAAGCCAAGCAGAGAACGCAGCACCCACCAGGAAATGCACAGTGCAGACTCAGACCCACTCTTTCGGACCTGAACATATCAATACTCACAGCCCAGTTACAGAAATGCATGTTCATGGGTTACAGTTAATGCCGGGCACCTGCAGAATATCCTCCACAGTCCACACATGAGGAGGTGGAGCTTTTGGACACTCGTACCTTCCTCTCGGCTCTCCTTCCTTCCCGCTGCCACCCACTGGATCCCAACTGCCTGGGATCCCAACTCCATGTTGCCCAAACTTTCTGCCCAGGTCTGGCTTTTGCGCCCAGCCTCAGTTCCTGGTTTCTGCTGCTTGACCTTGCTCCTCTCAGCTGCTCTTTACATACTGGAACCCTTGACTGCCTGAGCCTATGGATTCTTCCTGGCCTTAGGTGACATCTCTGGATATGACTTCTGGCATCAAAACGTTACATAAATACAACATTTCACTTTGTCAGTCTCAACCACTATTCTGAATGCTACTATCCCTAGTGAAGATACCAATCAGTCGTTTTTTTGAATACCATTTAATTGTTGTTAATTTTAACATTTATTCACTGTATTAAAATGTACTGAGACTTCTAGTCTCAAATATATGTAATTGTGACTGGAAGTGTTTTCAAGCACAGGCACAATCCGTTTATTTGCCAGTCAATGATGTAGATATACATATCTATAGGTAACCAGATGCCCACCTTCTGGATGGAAATGCTCCGTTTAAAAACATTTCCTTCCAGGATGTTTATAAATCGCTTGAAGAAAACAGATTGCATCATTTTTTCCCAGGTGTGGCCATGAGAATAAAAAATACCTTTTCATGTGGGACATGATTGGTAATGGGCCAAAGATTTTCAAGGGTCTGTCTTCGTATTTAAGTCCAGCCATTTGTTCCATTTCTAATCTGCATATTTTCTGGGCACCACATCAAGACAAACTTTTATCTTTTCTTGTACATATTCTTGAAGATCTAAATGTCTCTAGAATGAAAATATACAATACCAATTTTTTTTTTCCAAATTTGCGAGGTCAATAAAGATAATACGTGCTAATGTGAGCCTACACTAGTCTGCCTGGTCTGGGATTCACAAAGCTGCTATTCGTTCAATCAATGAATGTTTTGCATTCAAACTTAAAATGACTGAAGAGCCCATTTGCATGTAAAAATGAGCCACTAATATACTTTTAATAAAGGGGTAATGTTAATATTACTGAAGAGTTAAATGATAGAGTTAGATGATCCAAATATGTTTCTGTTTTACGCTGTAGCATAATCTTCAGAGTTTTCCATGAAAAAAAGTGACAGGAATTCTGTTTCAGTCTGCCAAACCTAGGTGAGCAAGATGCAACAGACTATGAAGAAAGCGTCCCATATCCCAGGGGGTCCCAGACTTTTTGAATCCTCCTTCAAACAACTGATCAAGTGGGAAAGTGTTAATGACGTGTATACCAAAATGATAGCAAACCAAAAAATACACTTCTTTTTTAGCCCACAGTTCCTAAGGGGAGTGGGAATATGTGTGTGCATGTGGATATGTGTGTTGGGTGGGTGTGATAGAGATGGGTAGAGTCTAAAATAATATGCAGAAGTCATTATTCGCAGAGTAAGGCCTGAAAATAAAAGCTGCAATTAAGTTCTCCCCCTTCCGTTTTATGTTGCTACTTATCCAGGTTAATTAACCATCTATAGGTGGCGACACTGGTATTATTAACGTGTTTGGGTACTTGACTGAATTTGAGAACAAATAAACTGATTAGAAAAGGAAATATGTACCAACAAGAGTTATTGCATTTGCTTGAGGCAAGTGGCCTGGCACCATACACAGTTCCCTTTTGAGAAGACCTCAGTACACTGTAGCTTACCCACTGACCCTGTTCTTTTCACTGCAAGCCTATCCTATAGCACTAGGAATTACACAGAAGTTGGAAGAGGCCTCTAGGGACTAGTAGAGAAGGCAAAGGCTGAGGATTTTGATTTCAGAGCAACTGGAAGATCAGCTATAACCACCAACACTCTCTACGGCACCACACTCTCCCAAGCACCAAATTGAATTATATTGGAAATTCCACCCCACATCTTACATGCACTTAAGATTGGTTCCCAACTAAAATAGAAATATTATTTGGAGGGAGCGTAACACTGTCAGCGCTTATCAGTCACTTACACCTTAGCGGAAATGAGAAGCATGAGACCAAGTTTAGAGATGATGACGTGGAGAAAGGACAAGGGCATTGGGGCCCAAATGGCAAAGAGCAAGGGAGAATCCCTTAACATGGAGAGGGTGGGAAAAGAACAAGGGAAAATTAGATTACAGTAGAGGCCATTTTCCTAGGACTGATCCGTCAACTCATATATACAAAATGGAGAACAGATGCCCATTTCCTTCTGCAAAGCATTGACCTGTTTTAAAAAAAAACAACCCACTGCCGTCGAGTTGATTCCGACTCATAGTGATCCTATATGACAGAGTAGAACTTCCCTATAGAGTTTCCAAGGAGCAGCTGCTGGATTCGAACTGCTGACCTTTTGGTTAGCAGCTGTAGCTCTTAACCACTTCGCCACCAGGGCTCCAAGGGTAATGCAAATTCACACATTTCTGCTGTACGTGATATTCCAATACATAGTCATGATGATATTCCTGTCTAGTCCCCTGTGTGAGTCTCACAAGCCTGTTTAGTGTCTCTGGTATGTGACTGCGTCCCAGATTAGCTGAACTTTCTTTATACCTATTTTGGTCCAGAGGTAGATGGTATGGAAATGAGCTGGCTAGTTCCAGTTGGATCTGTGAATGCCAGATGAACAGCAGGTTTCCCTCCCTCCATTCATTCTATTGCTACTGTGACACAGACAAGAATGAAAGGACAGCTTCTTAGATTACTCCTAGATGGTTTCATGGTACCACTCCTGCAACCAAATGGGGTAAGGTTCAAATATAACAAAACAAACATGAAAACATCTACGCTATCCTGGGTAAGCAATAAGAGACACAGAGATTAAACTTGATTTAAGATTTTCTAAAATATATATACATATAGCCAGCCTAAAATCCAGTCCTACATCAGCAGATGAAATCAGACGAGACATTTAATCTTAAAATGTTTCCCCACATTTTCTCATTTTGGATATCCACGATGACAGCAAAACCTATTTTTCATCCACTAAACACCAGGTGTTAATTCTGAATTGTTGGGGGTCTGCCAGTATAAACTGCACAGAAGTTAATATTTTTATGGATTTACAAGTAGATCCTTTTGGAGTAGTCTAGTTTCAACATGCATGCTGTTTTATGACATTTTCCCTAAGCTGACAAAAGGAAGGAAGAACATGAGGAAAAAAAACTTCCCCCAACACTTTGCTCCTTTCCTTCACTAATCTTAATAAGGATAGCTACCACTGATTGATTTACTGAGCCCTAGCTATGTGCCTGGCACCATTAGGCTTGGCTCTCTTGATAGATAGATGGATGGATGGACGGATGGATGGATGGATGGATGGATGGATGGATGGATGGATGGATGGGTGGATGGATGGATGGATCGATGGACGGATGGATGGATGGATGGACAGATACGTAGGTAGTAGGTAGACAGATAATAGATACAAATGTGGATGTGGATATGGATATAGATAAATGTATATAAGACCTACGGCTGCTAACCAAAAGGTCAACAGTTGGAATCCACCAGGTGCTCCTTGAAAACCCTATGGGGCAGTTCTACTCTGTCATATAGGGTCACTATGAGTCAGAATCAACTTGACAGCAATGGGTTTGGGTTTTAGTTTGGTTATATATTCATTGCATTGGTTCCTCCAGCAAGCTTGTGATGTGGACACAATTATTTCCCTATTTTGCACAAGTACATTGAGACTTAGAGCGGTTATGTCACAGAGCAAGAATGTGATCAAACCAAAAAACTTCATTTTCTGAATCGATTCTGACTCACAGCAACCCTATAGGACAGAGTTGAACTGCCCCAAAGGGTTTCCAAGGCTATAATGTTTACGGAAGCAGACTGCCACATCTTTCTCCTGCAGAGCAGCTGGTAGGTTTGAACCTCCGACCTTTCGGTTAACAGGCAAGCACTTAGCCACTGCACCACCAGGGTTCCTCAGGAATGTGATAGAACCAATAAAAGTACACACACAAAAAAGTACCCTGAGGGACACTGTAGCCCTGAATGCATACTTTATGTTTCCATGACAGATAAAGAGTGAGAAAGAAATCTGTGAGTTTTTACACAAAAAGAAACTCCTCGCTTCTGTCAATACAAACAGCATCTGTACCATGTGCAGCAAGTTTGTTACAACCTCTAAGATGACTAATCCAACTCATTGTGGCCAAAGAGAAAGTCCCCCACGTGACAAGACTGTCTCTGCAGGAGCCTTGCCTAATTCCTGTGCTGTCCTTTCCATTCCAAGGGGCAGCCCTGCCCCAGCAGGCACTTGGTGGTGTTTGCCAGCAGCAGGGAAGGCTGCCCTGAGCTACTGGTCCACCTTGTGAGCCACAGTCCATATCTGTGAGGCGCTGGTTGCCTGGGGATCCAGCCTGTGGTTACAGGACAAAGCTAAACTGTCTGGGCCGCATGCGATGACGTTCAGCTCCCTGACTTCCTTGACTTCATGCTCTAATCATCTGGGTTAGCCGGTCACAGCCCCCGACACATCCTGGTTAAGAGAAGAAGCCATACCCTATCCTAGTTCAGAACCAAATAATTTCATCTAGGCAATGACTCTAAATGGAGCCCTGGTGGCGCAGTGGTTAA